TGTGGAGTGGCTAAATTGAGCTAGTTAACATATGCTTTATCTCCTGTACTTACCATTTTTTTGTGGTGAGAACACTTAAAATCACTCCCTTAACAATTTTCAAAAATACAATATGTCATTATTATGACAGATGTTCTTACTCCAAAACTTGTGCTATGTACCTCTGTATATCTGTGTGCCATATTGCTGCTTCGTTAACGTCTTAAACTTGTACAAAATGGGAAGTTTAAACTATTTCTCTGGTATAATTTTCAGTGTGTATAAACAAACACCTGTTTCATTGCTCTTTCTTGTGTATTTTGTTTTTAAGATTCCTGGATCTCTCAGTCAGCTTCATTTCCCCGTAATCAGAAACAACCAGGGGTGGATTCTTTGTCACCAGTGGCCTCGCTTCCTAAACAGATTTTCCAGCCTTCTGCCCAACAGCAACCCACTAAACCAGTTAAAGTCACTTGTGCAAACTGCAAAAAACCTTTACAGAAGGGACAGACAGCTTATCAACGAAAAGGATCAGCTCACCTCTTTTGTTCTACCACCTGCCTTTCTTCCTTCTCTCACAAGCCTGCTCCAAAGAAACTCTGTGTTATGTGTAAAAAGTAAGGTTTACCTTTTAACATCATTCTGTAAAGTTGAATATTGGTATAAAATTTTAAGAAGATTGTTAATGAAGAGTTACAGAGAAGAATTGCTATATTTTAAAAATTGGTAAGCTAGTTTGAATCTTGAAGCCAAACTCAAATTTGTAATGGCTATGGAAGTTCTGTCAAGTCCAGGTAGCTTATGGATAGAAGGCTTTCTGTTTGGATAGACTTTGGGATTGATTAAGATACGGCCTTGTAATTAATTTTGTCTGTAATCTCCATTAGATTCCTTGTATTTCTAACAATGCATACTTATTGTAAGAATTTAATTTTTCTAGCCAGATAAAAATGTTAAGCCGTTATAACTAATTTTGTATTAAAGTAGCTCAAATTTTATACTATCTTCAGATTGAGATTATTCAAAATTGGCAAGTTTTTGGATTATATATATGTTTGTTTTGAACATTATTAAGTCATTAGAAATACTGTTTCAAGACTCCTGTACCATTTTTTCGCCAGCCTTGGAAAGACAGCATCTTCTGCCATTTTTAAGGTCTGACTTCACTGGTTAAAAATAGCTGGAATATGGTATATGTAAGGTCAAACCAGGTGAACTTTTGTACCGTATCTTGGAACAGCCCAAGTCTGTGAAATTATGTTTAGATCTTGGAACTCTGGAAAGGGCTTAGTGTTCTGTACAAGTTTAATAAATTCAAATATTGAAACAATTATTACAGTTTTTAGATTGCTTTACGGTAGTAAATGTAAATACTGTAACATAGAATCTTGAAATTCAGAATTACAGGAAAACTTCAAAGGTCATTAATATTATCATTTCCTAAGATTTCTAACTATAATTGGACAGCCATGTAGAATGATGGGTAAGGCAGGTTATCTCGGGGTAAGGTGGGTGGGAGGTGTATTTAAGTTCAGTTACCCTTTTAGAACAGATGTCCTATTCTCGTGACCTAGATATCTCATGTTTTCTATTTACCCGGGGAATGGTTATTGAATAGTATTATAAATTTATACTTTGATGAATTAGTCCTTGAGATGAATTCTATATAATTAATAATAGCTTTTGTTTTTTTAGTGATTCCAACATCTGAAATCCTTTTTACTGAATTTGAAGATAGGTGGTGGCAAGGATTAAATGTATAAAATATTTTTGCTTCTCAATCTTTTTTTCCAAGAGTTCATATTCTATTGTCAAGAGATTTTTAAATATTCAGAGTGATTTAACTGGATCCAAAAATGGTGTTTGATTTCCAGGATTCAATCTATAGAAATGAAAATTGTCACTTACTACTCTTATATTTGATTTCTTTTAAAATGGAATTTTACATTAATTTGTATCTTATTTTTCAGAGATATAACCACAATGAAAGGAACCATTGTTGCTCAAGTGGATTCAAGTGAGTCCTTCCAGGAATTCTGTAGTACATCTTGTTTGTCCCTCTATGAAGACAAACAGAATCCTACTAAAGGAGCTCTAAATAAATCAAGATGTACAATCTGTGGTAAACTAACAGAGGTTTGTATTTTTGTACTTTTATCATTTAGTTCTAACTAATAGGAATATTTTAAACTTTAATAAATGCTATTCCATATTCTTATCAGTGTATATTTCCTTAAAAGTGAAGATATATAAAAATTATCTCATACATATCCTATTATATAATCCCATTCTCCTGTAGGTAGGATAATTTAGGAAAATTACTGTGTTAAATGCCTTTTTTTTTCCTCCTGAGTTTGGGAGCACTCACGGACAAAACCGTAGTATTGGCATTGATTTTTGTCTAGTAATATGTATATTTAAACAAATAGGCCTACTATACAAGAAATACTACAAATAATCTTTCTGAGAAGTAGAACAAGTAGAGGGAATATTTTTACATCATTAATATGGTATTACAAAGTAATCTGTTTATACATACCTCATTTGAATTATTTATAATATTGGTCCTCCCTCTCCTCCTTTTTCTAATGTACTTTATTTATAGTTTTTGTTGAATTTGTCTAAAGATTTTCAGTCAGTTTGTTTATGAAGTTCAATATAACTACCATCCAAAGTTGGTTGTTTTCTATCAGTTTTTGATACCTCTGGAAAAATTTGTAGTGATATCACTGATGGACTTTTTTCTTTTTTCATTGCCATACATGTGTCCTTGTCTGTATAAAAACAGTTTAAAGAATTATGAAATGTACTTTGTTTTTCCTCTTCCCCAAACAAGCCTGGTTGAGGCATTTTTGTTTCTGTTGGAATACCTACGTCAGACTGATTTGGTTTTTAATATTTTGTTTATTATTTTTCTTTTAGATTCGCCATGAAGTTAGCTTTAAAAATATGACTCATAAACTGTGCAGTGACCACTGCTTTAATAGATATAGAATGGCCAATGGTCTAATAATGAATTGCTGTGAACAGTGTGGAGAGTACTTGCCCAGTAAAGGTGCTGGAAACAATGTTCTGGTGATTGACGGTCAGCAGAAAAGATTTTGCTGTCAAAGTTGTGTGAGTGAATACAAACAGGTAATTCATGTTCTAATCAAAATTCGGTATTCTTAGAATGTATTTGAAAGTGCTGTAATAGTTAAACAGCGTATATTAACCAGATTTATCTTGGAATCGCTTTTAATTCCATTATTGTCATCATATCATGTGGATGACCAACCTCAAATGAATTCTGAAATATAGATTGTCCCTGACTTGGTTCAGCTTTACAGTGATGCAGAAGCAATACTCATTCAGTGTGCTCCTCGAATTATGATGGGGTTCAGTCTCAGTAAACCATCCTGACTTTAAATCATCTTAAAATGCACTTTTGACTTAGGATACTTTTAAGTATCCTTAAGTTAAAAGTTTATTGAGATAATGCCATGCTAAGTCGAAGAGCATCTGTATATGTAGATTGTTGGAAATAAACTTATGGTTTTATATATAATGGTAAGTGCTACCAGAATGATTCTTCTTTTGAATTTTCTTTTTTGGGAGTTGGAGAGGGGTTTCAGATATGATTTTTCAAACTTAACTCTTAGCTTAGAAATGGTTATCTTGTTTATATATAATTTTAAGGTTAATTTCAATTTAGTTTATTTTTGAATTTAAACATAGACTCAAAAGTAAAATGTACATTAAAAAATACACTCAGAGAAGTTTAGCTCTGATTTTTATTTTCTCCTCTTGGTTCTTACACATCGTTTATAGCTATCATTTCAATTCTTACTATTTTGTTTCCTGTTTGTTTTTTTTTTAAATTAAGAAAATACTTCATTGTTTCCCTGTTTTTATACAAAAGGCAGAATAATGGTATGTATTGTTCTGCATCTTCCATTTTTCACTTCATGGTGTATCTTGGAAATCATTCCCTATCTATCTACATATATAGACCTTCTTCATTCTTTTTCGTGGCTGCATAGTTAAATTTTCAGGAATTTTGTGAACTGGCTGTTAAAAAGACCCATTATTAAAAATTAAATTATAGAAACTAATATGTAAATTATGTTTATATTAGTCTGCTATAATTCCTATAAGAAAATACCACAGATTGTGTGGCTTAAACAACAGAAATTTATATTTTCATAGTTCTGGAGGCTGTAAGTGTAAGATCAAGGTTGCCATCAGGACTGATTTCTGGTGAGGCCTCTCCTGTCTTAGAGACCGCTGCCTTCTTGCTGTGTACTTACCTGACCATTACTCCGTGTGCAGATGGGAAAAAGAGAGGGAGCTCTCTGGATCACGAATAAACTGGTATCTGCTTTACTCTGTATTTATGGATTTCTGGTGTTTCTTCCTCTTACAAGGACACCAGTCCTGTTGGATTAGAGCCCTACCCTTACAACTTTATTTAACCCTAATTATCTCCCTAAAGGCCCTATCTCCAAATACAGTTTACATTGGAGGTTAGGGCTTTAAGATACTATTTTGGAGGGGACATAGTTCAGTCCATAATAATATTAAAAGTAAAGATACTCAAAACTCATTACTTTCTAATTATTTTACTACATTTTAATATCTGTACTCTTAAGGTTATACATTCATTATATTTGTGTGGTGGAAATACTATATATAATGATGTGCTTCTGTGCATCTTGTTCCAAATACATGTTCCATTCCATGTCTGTAGCCTGGAAGTAGCCATAGTGGGAGTATTTTCACAGCAAAGGCTACAAATCTTGGCACTCTCATCACTCCCCAGGAGCTGGTGGTTGACCACGTACGAATCAACACTGGTCTGTATGGTAGTTTATTTGATCAGTTTGGTTTTCATGGCATTTGGGTTATTTCTAGTCGTTTGCTGTTACAAATAATGCATCATGAATAAACTGCCATTTGCCTTACTCCGTATTTATGGAAGTGTGGTTTCAGGGTAGATTCTTCGAAGCAACATTGTTTGGCTACTGTTAAATGCATACATTAGTTTGTTATGTATCATTAAATTCCCCTCTGTTGCAGTCCTACCAGTTAGTATTCCTTTCAGTAATACATGGAAATTTCTGTTTCCCTATAGCCCCACCAACAGAGAATATTAACACCTCATTCTGATTGGTGAAAGTGGTGTCTTAGTGTAGCTTTAATTTGTATTCCTTTTATTAGGAATGGTGATGAGCAGATTTTCATGTTTCAAAGCTGTGTTTCCTTTTATGTGAACTGTTTGTTTCTGTCTTACATCAGTTTTTCTGTTTGGGCTTTGATCTTAATTTTTTTCCCATTAGCTCGAACATTTATTTAATGTGCAAAATGAATCTGTAATTTGTTTATGAAACAATTATTTATTCACCAAGTAGTATGTTCAAGGCACTGTGCTAGTTGCACAGGATACAATACAGTGAGTGGTAAAAAAGACGTAGTTCCTGCCTTCATAGGGTTTACATTGGAGTGACATAATCAAGTTCTTGTAAATAAGGAAGGCTATATGGTGATGAAAAGGATTAGACTGTTTATAATTCCCCAGACTAATCATATGTTTCATGTTGTTGCTGATGTTGTATTTGTTATCTTCGATGCCTAAGAAGATTTGTTAAGAGTGCTGGCTTTAGAGTTAGTTGGCACAGGTTAAAATCATGGTCCGAGCAGTTATCAACTGTGTGCTCTGGGCAAATTACTTAACCTCCTTGTGCTTGCCTTTCATCATCTCTGGAGTTGGGAAAATGTTAATCCTTATCTCAGTATAAAGATGAAATCTGTGCCTTTCATCTTGATTTTTAAGAACCTAGTTCAAGAAACCTGATCATACCAGTTTTCCATCAGCTCCTTTGTGCTCTCTCCTAATTACCATCTCCTAACCTTCTCAAAGGTACTCAGTATTTTGACTTCTGACATCATATTTTGACTCGTTACTTGTTCATAAACTTTATATAAATGGTATTAATATGTCATGAGAGTCATCCTTGCTACTGTATATAACTGTGATTGGTTGCTTATAGTGTTGTGGTCATTATTGCTTTTTGGTCATGTAAAGTTTTTAATTTTAATATAGTCCACTTTAATAGTTGTATGCTTCTGGGTTTTGCTTCATACACTTTCTCCTCTCCTAGGTTGTAAATGAATACTTTCTATATTTTCTTCTAATATTTTTAAGTATTCATTTTAATCCTTAAATCTTTAATCCATTTGCAGTTTATTCTGGTATATGTTTGCATTATGGATCAAATTTTATCTGCTTCCAAATGACTGTCCTTTTCTGAAAATCATTAATTAAAAATTACCTAACCCTTTGCCTAGGGATTTGGATGTCATCTTGATCATATATAAAATCATATTTTAAATTCCTATGTGTATCTCTTTCTGGGCCTTCTAGTCTTTTCCGTTGTTTTAACACTATATT